CTTGCGACTTACGAAGCTTAATATCTTTCCTTTCCCTCTGTGGCTTGATGGCTTTGTCTAATTTTGGCTTTTCTGCCGTTTCTGACTCAGAGAAGTCTATGTCCTGGTAGTTGGGAGGGTACCGTAGGCCAGCTTCGTGGAGTTTTCTAAGAGCTTGTTGTCTCGAGAGTATGTATTCAGGTATTGGATCATCCAGAAATGCTGTTGCGGTGCTGTCATCGGCTAAGGAGTCGGTACTGAATCCTGTAGGGCCATCACCCTGACGTTTCCTGGACGAAGGCTTACGACCCACGATGCTTGCAGCAGCTGCGGCTTTTGACTTCTTCTCAGCACGGATCCTGTTAGTTTCAGCAGCTACGCGCTTTCTTTTGAGGGTTTTGCGCTCTTTCCAGTTCTGGTACGCAGCTCTGGTGTCTTCTTCAGACCACTCAGATTCTTCACCAATGCCATTCGTATCAGAGTCATTTGCCTTATTGGTTCTTGAGTCTGGAAGTTCCTGGAAAGCCTCATCGTCCTCAGTATTTGAATCTTCCGGATCTTTCTCCTTGCCTACTACATCCACAGTCTCTGACTGAGTTTGAGTTCGTGCCAGGACTAGAGATCGTCAATATCTTGATTGATAGAGGCTCATACCGACTAACCATCTATGTACTGAGAGATATCTAAATCTTTACGCGATGTCTTGATAATATCAAAGCCATCATCATCAGTATCACTACCACTCATCTCTTCGCTCTCGGCAAAAGCTCTCAGGGCTTTTCGTTGGCCCTTTGACTTGTCGCGACTGGATGTCATGACTACTACTGCCGGGTTTCGATATGATAGCGCCGGTCATATGTGGCGATTTGCACCTTTATCAAGGCGGTTGAACGAATCGGTACCTGGAACTATAGGTTGCACAGACATATCGCTAGCAACAAGCGACGAGTGGGAGGAGGCCAGGAAGGGCCGCTGACGACAAACGCGCCAACGCGTCCTCACGTGAGAGCGGGGCCCCGCTTGCCTGCAGATCGCTGCAGCATGGATCAAAATATCATAGCCTCAAGCTTTCTAAACTTGCATCATCATCGCAATCAGCCATTCGACCCGAAAACTGCAGCACACCACGACGTAGCCGGTCGCCCTATACTTGTCTCCTCCAATTTGGGAGGAAGAATAAAAAAATATCAATTAATCACAGAACAAATCATCCACAATGCCCCTCGACACAAGCACCTACTCGCTCGCGCTCCTCCGCCTCGACGGCCGCCGCTGGAACGAGCTCCGCCGCATCCACGCGCAAATCTCCACACAAGCCGCCGCAGACGGATCCTCGTACCTCGAAATGGGCAACACCAAAGTCCTCGTCTCGGTCACCGGCCCCGCCGCAGAAGGCAAGCAAAGCGGCCAACGCGGCACCACCAGCGACAAACTCGCAAAAATAGACGTTGAAATAAACTTTGCGGGCTTCAGCGGCGTGGACCGCCGGAAGCGCAAGACCGACAAGAAGACGAGCGAGATGGAGCATTGTTTGCGCTCGGCGTTTGAAGGCGTGCTGTCGCTGCATTTGTATCCGAGGTCGACGATTACGATTAATGTGCATGTTGTGTCGCAGGATGGGTCGTTGCTCGCGGCCTGTCTGAATGCGGCGACGCTGGCGCTGGTGGATGCGGGTATACCGATGACGGATTACCTAGTTGCGTGCACGGCGGCTTCGTCTGCGTCGGCTGAGGCGGCGGATAATGCGTCGGCGGATGATCCGCTGCTGGATCTGAATAATCAAGAGGAGTTGGAGTTGCCTTTTTTGACGGTCGCGACGCTGGGGGAGAGCGACAATGTGGCGGTGTGTGTGATGGAGAGTAGAGTGCGCATGGAGAGGCTGGAGAGTATGCTGGCCGTGGGGATTGAGGGGTGTAAGAGGATGCGGGGGATATTAGATGATGTTGTGAAGGGTTATGGAAAGCGATTTGGTTGAAAGAGGGAGGTATGATGATATTTTAACTCAATATGTGTCGAACGCCGTAAAGCGTCACTCAGCACTCGAGACACAAGGCCGACAGCGACCTGCAGTGGCCAAGAAGTTTTGTGGCTGGAGCTGTTGGCGTTGTGAAAAGAGATGGTGTGCCTTGGGCCTCTAGGAGGACCAGTTTCACAGCAGGGCTGCTCAACGAAAGAGCTTGCTAGAGCGGGACTGGACGAAGGAATGAAGAGCTTCAGCGCGACGTTTAAATCGTTCGACGCTTGCAATTCAAATCATAAAGTCATTTAATCGAATCTCCTCGATTTACACCCCAATCAACTGAAGCGTTTCTTATCTGTGCGCTCCAGTCCGTCCATGTCTAACAAGCCACGCACAACTACCAATTCTTCAACAAAGTTGACTGATGAAATCCCACTCTCTTTTGAACGGCTCTTAACTTCGCACTACGGTCCTGCTACACGACCAGTTAGTGACATGCCTCTCATCTACTAATATTATACAGCAAGTGATCCCCGACGCAAAGGGACCATCGTGACCACAATGCCAAAATCTAACCCGCCTGCTGCAACATGCAATCGTCTCCTGCGTATGGTGAAAAGTGGCAACAAAGAAATCTACCTTACCAGCATAGGATGATTGAAGAACCCAGTACGCTCAAGAACATCACGAACAGCCTCGATAGCATCTTCTCCTGCATCAAGTGACACGGCTCCGACCATGGCTTCGAACGCGTCCGCCATCATGTTCTTCGTGACGTGTACGCCAGATGCCGGGACAATATAAGTGTCGAGGCCGAGCCTGAAACCGCGCACTGCAAGAGCTTCGTTCGAAACGAGAGATTTATGGATGTCATTCCAGGTTTTTACTGGACTAGTTTGGCCTGTTCTTGTTAGTCTTCATCAATGACGGTAGATATGTAGTGCAGCTAGGTATATACCATTCCGATTGCGGACCTGATACCATCTTTGTGACAAGACAAGATCCATGATCTTGTCACCGACAAGCTCTAGGCGTCTATTGTGGACAATGCTGTACTCATGGCCCTTGATTATAAGGAGCGCTTCTGGAGCTGCCATTTGGACTGACTCTGCGCAAATGATCTTGTTCTTAAAGTAGTAGTCGAAGGCTTTTTCAACGCCGGCGATTTTGCGATCAATGTTGATGGTAGGAGTGTTATATTTTCGCTGCACAGTTGTTTGGAAATGGGCGCATGGGAAGGCGCAACGCAATTTGGGAGAGGTTGCTGTTACCTTGAACGCCGTAAACCGAGTCAGTACTAGCCAGTTACTGCATCTCATTCGATTTGGCGACACCATAGCAAGGAGTTCTGATGAAGGCGAAAGGAAGCGGTATATCAAGTTCTTTAAGATTGAAAATGCAATTGTAAGAGATGTGTGTGTATTTATGCATACACAACAAAGAAACAAAACCCAAAACAGCGTCGTTTGCTCTGAAAACAATGAAGAGTGTGATGTCGAATGACAACTTCAACCGGTGACGCGTGTTTGCTATTCCAACTCAAACTAGGCTTTGCTCGGCAAGCCACGAGGCAGTAGGCCAGTAGTACATCGTTAATAAGGCTGTTCACGATCACTCATTAGAAACCATACGAAAACCCGTACTCAGTGATGCCGCAGCCGCGGTTCACCGTGCAGGTCCGTAACCCGGCTTGGTCCAGAATCCGCCCTGCAAAGCAACTCCAAATTTTCAAAGCAACGAGAGGGCGGCCCGTATGGATATTCGACGCTGCGTTCAAACCCCGAGTGAAAATCAAACGCAGTAACGAGTCCAATGAACTGCCTATCTCTTACCAAGGGAACCTGAAGCTGCCTTGTAGGGGGTATCTCGAGCAGGCAATGAAAGGATCTAGCAGTGTCTTAATTAGTGCATGGCAAACCACTGCTCATGTTGAGGGCGAGAATGATAAAAACAGAGACATTACTGTGAGAAGGATGTGGTCGAAGAACCCAAGATGCTCCATGACGTTGTGAACAGCAGCGTCTCCTCCGTCTTCATGGACTGCTCCAACGATGGCTCCGAGAGTTGCTGCGACCATTTTAGGAGACACGTTGAGTGTGCTACTAGCCGTGATGATGACCTTGTCAATTCCAGCGTTGTATCCTCGGCGAGCCAATGCATCGTTGGAGATGATGTCGTTCCGCAACTGCGTCCACTGCGCTGGGGATAGGGCCTCATCTGTCGTTGTAAACAGTGCAGCCTAGCAAGAGCAAGGGAGTCGTGATTTACCATACGACCCACGCATTCTAAACCAGGCACTACAAAGTTCTCTGACGAGGACTGCTTCCCCTAGGATGGCCAGTCTCTTGTTGTTATGCAAAGCCGTAAAGACGTCATCCTCAATAAAAGCGACCTCTGGTGCTGCCATTTGAGCTGCTTCCGCGGCGAGGCGTTTTTTGGAAAAGACGTAATCGATCATGGCCTCGATTTCCAACACTCTGGATGTAAAAGAAAGTGTCATGGCCGCGTGGAGTATAGTCTGTGTAGTTAGTAGACGAGGTGGGGTGAGTGCGAGATGGAAACAATGTGGGGGAGATGAGGTATGGGATAGAGTAGAGGAGTTGAAACGCAGACTAGAGCCAAGACAGCACTCTACATAATCTAACCTGATACTGGCATGCACGCAATCATGCTGGGTATTATGCGAGGAGATTATCATCAAGGATGCCGATGCATAGCCCAGTCAGATTTTGGGGGCTGGGTTGGGCGCAGTGCTGTGGTTGGGGCGCGGCCATCACAGGGCAGCTGGAGATCGCAGCTTCCCGTTTCTGGGGATGGTTCACTCGGTTCACTCTGACCCTTCTGCCACTAGCTCGCATGGGGCTTAGCGGGTCCCTACGTCATTTGCAGAAACACTGGAAAACCGGCATGGTGGGCGAGTACAGGGCGACCAAGAGGGGGCGAACTACGCTATGAAAGCGGCTGTTTCCAGTATCCGCATCACCGGATTCTGGGACAAGTCCACCAAGACGGCTATCCCGGAAGCACCAAACCACAAAGAATACGAAACTAGTCATTTGACATGGCAGAAGAGTTCGTGGTACGTGGCCTATATCCTTGCTGTCCTGCTGCTCCTGCTAGTACTGCACTGTTGCGAAGTCTGCTGATTGGTCGCGTCGATGATATATAGGAGCTCGGGTTCGAGAGCCTTGATAGATTCGCAGATCGATACTGGGACCGAACTTATGATCATCTACCAAACATACCAAGGCCAGGAAGAAACAAGTACCGCCAGCAGCAGAGACAGCTACCGTCCGGGCAAGCACCACAGCACCCTGACAAGGGCTACGAGTCATCAAGCCCCATCTCGGACGACGTATACGGCTACAAGTCTGACCCTGAAATGTACGGGCCAGACGGACAGGACGGGTATGCAAGGGACCAGCGGTACCGCGAGGCCGAGCAAATGGACTACATGCACACAGCGCCAGGGCCGGGATTCAGAGTGCCTCGCCGTCAGCCTGAATACGACAATGGGCGGAACACGCAACTAGAAGTGCGTCGTCATTGTGATGAGGCTAGAATCAATAGCTGACTAAAAACAGTCATATGGGCAAGTCGAAGAACAAAGCTATTATGGCCGACCAGCCCCACACCGAAGACGGTCTTCGTGGTCTCCGCCGCGCTCTCGGGCGCGAGGAGGGTCAGAATCACGACAGGTACGCTCAAGGTCGCGGTCGCAGTCGCGATCACGGTCTCAATTGGCACAGGATGATGCGAGGAATCGGCTCATTGCAACCATTGGAGGGGCATTGGTAGGTGGGCTTGCGGGCAACCAGGTGGGCAAAGGCAAGAAGTACGATACTGCCGCAACGCTTGCCGGAGCCATTATCGGAGGGGTTGGCGCCCGGGAAGCAGCCGATCACTGGGACAAGACGCGACAGAAGAAGAAGCAACCAAAGGGAGAGGGGTGGGAGGGTGAGTATGGAAACGGACACGGTCGCAGAAACGAACGATGTCAGGAGGGGGGCAGGTGGGACGAGGACAGGCGATACTAGTAGGGGGTTGTCAGGTCTACTCAAGTACATGCATACACATGTACACATGTCTGTCCACGTGCTCATCACACGTAGGGGAGATGGCATGGTGGGCGCTTGCTCGTGGTTTTGCTCGCGGCGTACATACAGGGTGCAGAGGATATGAAATTCGGAGGTCAATAGTAGCAGGGGCAAAGTTTAATTGCTTATTGCGGGAATGACGTGCGACGAGCGGGCGCCTTGTCTGCGACATGATCTGATGCGGCGGCGAGGGGGGCCGTGCAATGGGGGTCATGGGGGCCATGGGGCGGCTTGAGAGCCCACGGGTGCAGCGGGGTGGGTGGGTGTCGTTCGCAAGCAAGCACACTGGCGGTCTCGGGGGGGGGGGGGGGGTCAGGCTAGTGGCGGTGGTGGTGGTGTAGCAGCAAGAGGGTATGGGATGGATGGCAGGGCAGTCCAGGGCAGTCCGCCATTCCAGGACAGGCCAGTCAGTCCGTCCGTGCCCCGGTTTCGAGAAGGCCGAGTAGAAGGTCGGTCAGCCAGGGCGCGCGTTGCGGGACTAAAGCCTCGTCCCGCACTCGATCCATCCTCTATTCTCTCCGAAAAGCACGACGGGCCTGCAAGACTGTGGCCACGACGCTGAAAATAGCCTACTCTGCTGCACCCAACCCAGCCCACAGCCATAGTCATACCCACTCCCACACCCTCTGCCGCCCGCCCCTTGCTTTGTTCAGTGCGTCCCGCCCGCCGGTCAACCGTGGCAGGTGTTGCAGTGGCCGTCTAGCGGCAGCTTTGTTCCACGCCATCCATTGCATCTGCTACTGACCGCCCGCCCACCTGCATACCGCCCTCTCCCCATTGAGCCTCTGCACAAACCCTCGCCATCTCCCCCCAGCGCCCTCGTACCAGCCAAAGCCACCACAAACCACCATGAGCTGAGCCTGCCCCGCCATTCTACCGCTTCCACTCGCCCGCACACGACCACACCGCCGCCAGCTAGTCAACGGCTGCTGCCCCTCCCCACTGCGAGCCCGCTTCCGCCGCCTCTGCATCAGCTATCGCGACTTCCATAACGCGTCTCCGGCCACCACCACCTCACTCTCCTCCCACGCTCACACGCCCCCATCACCGCCTCCATGCGCCGATACAGGCCGGGCGGTGGCCCAGTCCGCGCTCATGGAGGCGTGCCTGTCCCAGACCCCTTCGCCATGGTGCGCGCATACGATAGCGACTCCAATCCCGCCAGACCTATCCGTCCCTCGCCCCTCGCTGCCTCCACTATCCAGGGCCTCCCGCTCGACCTGCTCGACCGCCTGCGCTCCTTCCCCCTCTTCCAAGCTGCTCCCGACTCCTTCCTTGCCCAGGTCGGCCTGCACCTCAAGCCGCAGCTGTACCAACCCCATGACACAATTCTGACCGAGGGCGAGACGGGCAAGGCCATGTACTGGCTAGTCCGCGGTGCTGTGCGCGTCACCTCGCGCGACCAGGAGAGCACATATGCCGAATTGAAGCCCGGTGCCTTCTTCGGCGAGATTGGCATCCTCATGGACATTCCCCGCACTGCCACCATTATTGCCAATGTCCGCTCCCTCGTCGTGCGTCTGAACAAGGAGGACCTGACCAAGGAGCTCCCCAAGTTTCCCGACGTCGAGGTCGCCATAAGGCACGAGGCCCAGGAGCGCCTGGCTATCCTGCAGCGCAAGAAGTCAGAGCTATCGGCAAAGCGCCCACAACCCATGCGCCAGATAACGGGCAAGCGCGACCGTGAAGACGGTGATGTGGTCATGGCCGAGAGCGGTACCATACGTGATGGCGAGATCAATGCCTTCAAGAAGCGCAAATCTCCAAGTCCGGGCCTTGCTGAAGCCATTGCTCACAGTGCCTTTGGAAGCGATAGCCTGCATGTTCGGCCTTTGCTAAAAGAGCTGCCTCTCTTTTCCGAGCTGCCGGATGATATTCTACACTTTATCGGCATGCGTGCCCAACCATGTTCCTTCGATCCTTTTGTAGACATTATAAAACAGGGTACCCACGGTCGGGATGTCTTCTTCATTGTAAAGGGCGAAGTCGAGGTCATTAGCGACCATGTGCCCGAGTCCAACGGCTTCACTTCACCCACCCAGGGACGAAGAAAGTCGATTGCTGCGGGCGAACACAATTTCCAAGAAGTAAAGGCTCGACTAAAGCCAGGGCAGTACTTTGGAGAGGTAGTCAGTCTTTCGCTGGCGCCACGCCGCACTGCCACGGTCCGCTCTATATCCGCTGTCGAATGCCTGATGATCACGGGAGACACGTTGAACCAACTGTGGGAAAAGTGCACTCCAGACGTACGGCGACAGGTCGAGTCTGTCGCTAAAGAGCGCTTACAGACTGCCAAAGACGAAGATGTGCTCATGCCAGATGCGCATAGCACACCCAATATTAATGACTTGGCCATAGTAGACTACACAATACCCCGAACTCCACGTAGGAAAAAGAGTGTGCCGACCGTTACTTTCAATGAAACACTCGGCATCGACAACTCCGTAACTCCTGCTCGGAGAGACGAGAAGATGATGGAGCCATTCGATCCCGATCCTTTTCTAAACGTCGACCTTGACAACGTCAGATCACGATCGCGTAGAGGTTCGCTCGCTCCACCAGCACCTGGCTCAGCACCCGAAGCCCCCGCGAGTCCGGGCAAAACCGAATTTCCAAGGACCCCATCGCCCAACGGATCACCACTTTCTCCGTCGCCATCTTTTACAATAGCAAAACATGCGTCTACCCCTCCAGAGGTTCCATTCGATTTCAAGCGCCCACGACTTGTCACAAAACCAAGCATATACACCAGAGGTCGATTGCCAGATTCTGTACTTGTTGCCATCTTCGCGAATCTAGACATCCACCAGCTGATGAAACTACGCATCATTTCTTCACATTGGAGCAAACTCATATCGGAATCCCCTGACATCCTCCACGATCTTGATCTTACAAAGTACAACCGCAAAGTCACCGACCGGTCACTCATCGATATAATATGCCCTTTTGCCGGCAGCCGACCACGATCCGTCAACATTAGCAACTGCTTTCATGTGACAGATGAGGGTTTTGGAGAACTAGCAAAGACCTGTGGCCCAAGCGTTAGGATATGGCGTATGAAGAGCGTTTGGGACATTACCGGACCTGCTGTTCTCGAAATGGTACAAAAAGCCAAGGGTCTAGAAGAGGTAGATCTGAGCAACTGCAGAAAGGTCGGCGATAACCTCCTTGCCCGAGTCATTGGCTGGATAGTACCTGACATGCCGCCCCAAATGGCCATGGCGCATGCTCAACAACAGGCTCAGATGAACGGGCGCCGACAAGGAAAAGGCGCCAACAGTCAGCCACCGCAACCTCTACCGCCAGGCACCGTTGTTGGCTGTCCAAAACTCAGACGATTAACACTGAGCTATTGCAAGCACATTACTGACCGGAGCATGGCCCACATTGCTGTTCACGCAGCCAACCGCATCGAAAGCATCGACCTGACACGTTGCACCACCATCACAGACGTAGGCTTCCAACACTGGAGCGTCTACCCCTTCCCTAGGCTCACCAAGCTGTGCCTCGCCGACTGCACCTACCTGACCGACAACGCAATTGTTTATCTCACCAATGCAGCCAAGGGGCTAAAGCAACTTGATTTGGTAAGTTTGGACCCTCACCTTTTGTCATTTTATTTCTTTTTCGGGATCAACATGCCACGAAAGAGAAAAGAAGAAACGAAAAAATGCACTCCCCCAATCCACACACAACGAGAGAAAGCCCTGAATTCCCTCATTTTCCTTTCAAAAGAAAAATCACGAAGAAAAAACAAACAAGTCTCACACACCCGCTAATCCGAAACCCTTCCAAATCAACAGTCTTTTTGCTGCGCCCTCTCGGACACGGCAACCGAAGTCCTCGCCCTCGGCCTTCCCTCGCTCACCCACCTCAATCTCGCCTTTTGCGGCTCCGCAGTCTCAGACACGTCGCTCCGATGCATCTCGCTGCACCTCCTCGAGCTGCGCAACTTGTCTGTGCGCGGCTGCGTGCGCGTCACGGGCACGGGCGTCGAGGCCGTCGTCGAAGGTTGTCGCGACCTCGAGCGCTTTGATGTCAGTCAGTGTAAGAATCTCGGGCGTTGGCTCGATGCTGGTGGTGTGCAGAGTGTAAGGAATCGTGGACGTAATGTTAAGTTTGTTTGTGTGAGTGATGGGCGGTGGAGGGATTCCATGGGCAAAAGTTAAGACACGCTTTGTTTACTTGTTTTTTTCCCTCTTGTCCACTTCCTCTTCGTCCTTCGTGTTGGTTGATGTTGGTCGACGTTGTTGTTGAAGGTGATGTTGTAACGAGTTTGTGAGTGACGCCATCGTTTCCTTATTTCCAACGTTTTTTTTTGGGGGGGAAGGGAGGGGAATCGAAAAATACCTGGGAAAGTTCTTACTTAGATGGTTGTTTTTTTTTCCCTTCCATTGTCGCAATCTCTCTTCATCTCTCACACATATAGATTTGTACTTGTACTGTTGAACTGTACTCTTTTGTACTGTTTCTGTATGGTATTCATTTCTTTCCCATTGTTCTTGTTTTCGTTTTTTTTCGTCCCGCTGGTTTTTGGCTTGGTTTGGCTTGGCTGTTTTTTTTTGTGAGGCGGCGGTAGCGGTGTTTGCGCTGCGTTATGCTATGATAAAATTTAATGCCATGATACCATGTTTGACATTGATTATTTTTATTTTTTCCTCCCTCTCTTGCAGTTCTTCGTAGATTGTTGTTGTGTGGGGGTGGAGGTGGTGGTTGTGGTAATGGTGAGAGTTGCGGGTTTTGCTGCATGGTAGAACATGGAGATTGGGATGGGGAAGAAGAGATGCTGTGACGGTAGGTTCGTTAAGACTTTTGGCATTTGGAAAGAATGTAAAATAGAGGAGTTTGGTAGTGTTTGATAAGTGTAGCTCCGCAGGTAGTTTGTAGAATGGTTATGATGTTTGAATTGTGTAGAGCTACTGCGTGCACAATGACGCTTTATGTATGGGTAAAAGGCATCGCTATTTCCCCCCTCATTGTTGGTAATATCAGGGATGAGGGTGGTACAATCGATCTTGCTGTCTGGTTATTTGTTTATCTGTTCAGGTTTAACGTCCTATCTAGGAGCCTCCCATGGAGCATACGGACAGGTGAAGCCCAGCGCTGAAGGCGGTACAGCACTGCCTTATCTTATTGTCCATGGATGATGGGTTGGTTACTGTTAATGTGTCGAGCGAGAGTTTGGGGGGCAGAGCAAGTACCGCGTCAGTAAGTGTAAGGCTCTGGTTCAGACGCAATTGTCTAACCTTGTTATCGATATGCTCTCGAGAAATAACAAGATTTGTGTCAATGGCTTCGAATTACCTTTTTACTATATCCTCAGCAGACTTATTCTTCAGTTATTATTACAAGTGATGAACAGACTCAAAAAAGGAAACCAACGTGATTGAGGAAGAGGGTTTAGATATTGGGTACGTTGTAGTCTTTGTATTTGTAGCTTTTCTATTCCTGCATAGTCCATTAATTCCAGTCATGATTATTGCCAGACTTTCATTCATTTGCTTGTTTCTGCTCAAAAACCCTGATTTTATCCATCAAGTCAACATCGTCTTGGAAACCAATTGCTTTTGCAATTTCCATGCAACATGCCGTCATGGCAAGACGGTCTTCATGAAATTTTCGTGTCTTAAGGCGTATGAAGCTCTCCATTTGGTCCTTCAAGAAGATTCGCAAATCGCCAAGGCTATGGGAGACTTGGGGAGAAAGATCCGCACCAGCCTTCAGCATTCTGGCTATTATCTGAGCGGCACCCAAATCCCAGGTCGAGACAGCGCGAAAATACTTGTTACCCAACCAGATCAGCCATGGAGTCGTAGTTGTTCGATATTCCACAACTATCTGATTTGGATCACACCCCAGATCCAATAGAACTCCTATTGTCGTTTCTGAAATTAGTGGTTGTTCGTAAAATCTATACACAACTAATTCCGTGATAGGTTTGACAATGGCATGTACAAGGAGGTTCGATAGCTTGCTCGTAGTTTGTACTCTCTGTACTGCATTGTATTCCTCGACATCAGACTTCTTGATACTGTTATGCAGATTCATTTCTACAGCCAATTGTAGAGCGATATACTTTTGGTCGATGTCATATCCGGGCAATTCATAAACTAGCCCTAATTGGTCATCTGGGCTGCTGGATCGAGATGTTGGTGCCTGAGTGGGACGTCCTTCGTTTCGCCCTTTCCGAGCAACCAAAGGCCTTATTGCCACGACAAGGCAATCAAGAAGCGCAGCTAAATTGGGCAAAGAATTGTCGTGGATGGTTTTCAAAATTTGAAAGTATTCCAATGAAAAGTTTGGGTAGTCCCCTCCAGATTCCGCATTGAGAAACAACAAGTAGCAGTACATACATCCTAAGACAGCGATCGGATCAAACCCGGTATCGTCTATTTTGAGGCACTCAATTTCTAGAGCGTCTGTATTGTCGAGGAACTCAAAGACTGTTCTGTGCATGAAGTCGACATAAGGGTAATCCTCACCGGCTCCCACAAGGTGGCCTTTGGAGGCATCGCCATGGACTTCTATTAACCCTCTGCACCGACTACGAAGACGACCTTCTAGAATTACGGATTTCTTTTTCATTTCATCAGGTGAGTATCGAGTAAGCTCTTTTAGTTTATCCAACACCATCCCATTTTCGTCGGCCCAAGCCAGTGCAAAAGTCGGAATGTGGTAATATAGTGCAATTGATCTTTGGATATGGCAAACGCGTAGCAGTTTCGATGCTTGTTGCCGGACCCCCTGTGGTATATCCTCAATTATGCTGCGGAAAAGATCCTCAAGTTCTAGTGGTAGCTGGTCAACTGTCCGCCGGATCTCCTCCGCCATGTCGTAGGCGTCAAAGTGGTCAAATAGTCTGCGACAAGCAAGTACAACCCAGAGAAATACACCTTCCGCTTTGCGTTGTAGAATTACAATCAATTCCTGGACATCGGCTTCGTAAAGATAGCTATCTGCATTTCGGTCAAGATAGGACCGGATTGTGTCGTTGACATATTTTTCGATATCTCGCTTTGTCAGATCGTGTAGTCTCAGCTGAGGTCTTGTGCGGAAGGCTGCAACACACGTGTCGATAGGCCGGCTTGAAAGCAGAATTTTTATGTGCGCGCTAGTAGCAAGTTTCTGAATAAATGATATGCCTTCTCGATGGCTGCCCTTGAACTCGTCGATACCGTCAATGAAGAAAGCGAATGCCCCTTGTGTCGATGCTTTGCCAAGTTGCTGGAATGCCCGGTTTAGTTCAGTGCTTGAAGGGAGCTTCAAGTCCTTGACACCGCTCTGAGCCTCCTGCCACATGTTTGGAATAACAAACGGAATGAGTGACTGATTTTCCTCCAGAACATGGTACAAAAGACCTCTGGCCAGACCATTGAGGGTGTTTTGCTCGGGGGATCCAACGTTCCACAGGAAAAAGTTAGCCATGGTCAATTTCCGACTCCCTGCCCATATTTTCAGTAGTTCTGGGGCTTTGGAGTTCTCAAAGAGGTATTTCATCAATGTGGATTTTCCGCTTCCAGGTTTACCAGAGATCCAGTATATACCAGCTCCGGATCGAAGCCATTGACCCAAGTCGCTCCAATTGCTGTCAGGATCAGTAGGCTCGAGTGCCCATTTGAAAGTTTCGGAATATGCCTCAGAAATGCTGTCTTTTCTGTCATCGATCAAGCGGAACCAGAGGCGATTGAGAATTAATTTGGCACACTCCTGATCAATGGCCGTTTCTACCTCAGAAGTGATGTTGATATCTTCATTCGGCAAAACACTCTTGATAGCCCTTAGCTCACTGACGGAACTCAAATTGGTTATTTCGTGTTGCAGTGCGATATTGGTGGAATCGCCACTTTGTGGAGGTATGACTGCGTTGATGTCGGCAATCAGATCTGCCAAGCTCTGGACGAGGCCTTCGAACTGTTCTTTATCTTTGATAATCCATCTAACCTTGTCGACAGCAATATATTGAGTGTTATGACGCTCGTCTAGAAATGGACCAGATTGTACAGCTTGGTATAGCTGGAGTGACTGAACGTCGCGACGAGATCGAAGTTTGCGTGTCATTGAACTGAATTGTGACATGAGCCGATCACTGAGAGCTGTCGGCGGTTCGATTGATTCATGAATCTTGGCTGGTCTAACACCGTATCGTTTCTCGAGTTTTTGGCCGTCTTGTAGCAGCTGACGGATGCAATCCAGACCTTGAGAGATGAGAGGCCCAATTTCAGGGTCATCAAGTCGCTTGTCATAGTGTTTGGGATCGAAAAGATTCATCCTGTTGGCCCATTGGTGCAGAAGTACTTTCTGGATATCGAGCCTTGTTGCCAGCACGGCGTAATCTTGGTTCATTGACTTTGCTGCTCCGATGTATGATAAGAGCTCTACACAGTCACCGAAGACACCAACAAGTGCAACAGTACCGATGGCAAGACCAGCAACTTCCATGGCTAATAAAGACAGAAGTAGTTAATGTGACGTTTTTTTTTCACGAAAAACTCAGAGGGTAAGTGGAAAATTAGTTGGAAGTTGCATCTCGACAAGGCTGAGCTCTTGTGCACTGTTGAGGGGTAATACAGATGCATGCTCCTGCGGGTTACGCCACCTATGTTTCCTGGGCGCTGGCTGTTGCGCCTGGCCAATCACGCTCATGCTTGATTGAGAGAAATTTGCCTTGTCAGATATCAACAGTATCTTTAGCCTTCATTTGAGTGAGTGAGTGAGAGTATAAGATACAATGCCGCTGTGGCTTTGCATAGAAACAATTCGGCCCGGATGTGCAGTATTCTTTAGTTCAGACATGGCAGGCAATGAAATGCACGTGCGGCGTAGAGATAAGAGAAAGCAAGACAGGCTGGCAGATTTGGCCCCCATTCTTAGCACAGCACGCCAAGCCCACTTCACAAGGACACGTGACAGCGGCCTCCAACTGGCTTGATGACCATCCCATAGCAGAACATCTACCCATCTTTAAACAATATTAAAAAAAACAAAAAAAACACAGGCACCCGCACTCTCCGCAAAAGCAGAGTCTAACACCTCATCCCCCAACCCCTTGCAGCTTCCCCACTCCACGCACCTTGGTACGCGCGCATGCGCGCAACACAACCTACTTACGACCCGTCCCAGCCGACCCAACCTTTCCATACTACACGCGCTGTACCTACATGCACATCCATACAATTGAAACCACTAACTCCCACCCTTCCCTCCATCCCTCCATCCCTCCGCACCCCCACGAAAAAAAATTCAAAAAACAAAAAAGAACCAGATCCAGACCACGAATCCCTCGCATCGAGCCCGGGATACCCAATCTAGGTTACCACACACACACCCCACCCCCCACTATCTACCACTACACTATTCATGGGGGTGGTGGTGAAGTGGACCCACTGCGCAATGAATCCCAAGACCCGCAGAGCCTCGCCCAGAAGCTCAGAAGCTAACATCAGGCCACGATGGCAAAGGATTCCAGGACTCCACTGTCCAAGTCCGCACGTGCGTCGCTTGGCGATCTTGGGAGGGGGGGCCCCAAAGGGTTTTGTTGCGGCTCTGCTGTGCTTCTGCGGGATGGTGGTGGGGATGGTGGCTTTGGGGGGCGCGCGAAGGAAGTGGGTGAGGGAGTGGTGGCGCTTGGCGGACGGTAGTTGTGAAATGTAGTATACGAGAAGTAGAAATTTCCGAGTTGGCAGAGAAGAAAGAGATTGGATTAGGGTGGTAGGAGGTAAGTACGGGATAGCGAAAGTGATTTCACAAGTGCATAGTTCACTAGGGGGTTTGGAGGAAGCAAAGAGGCAGGTTTAATATTTCAAATCATTTGCATTGCTTTCGTTACATAGTCATATCTCCGGTCCTTCCAGTGACCGAATAGTGGTATCAAGTAAGTTTTGTGGAAACCTGTCACATATACATAGCGCATTTAACCCATTAAATCTTCTCGTTCTTCTCCGAGTTGTCAATAACTTCGACGGCCTTTGCGCCGTTCTTCTCGCTGTGGATGCTGCCAGTCTCGATGTCCTTGGGAGCCGTGATGTTAGCGCCAATAGGACCAGCCTCTTCAAAGTGGCGACCCTTCTTCTCGGGGCCAAGAGCGGTAGTGACGGCAATGCCGAGAACAATGATGGCAGTAGCAACGCCCATGACGGGGCCGTAGGCGGGAGATGGCTCGCCCTTTGCGGTCTTGATGATAGTGGCTTCAGCAACGGCGTTGACGATTTGGGCGGAAGGCGAGGAGATCATGTTTCCGAGTTGGTAGGTGATACCCACAAAGGAAGAGCGGAAGGCAGGGGGGGAAAGTTCGCTCAGGTGGATGGGAATGACACCCCAGGCACCCTGGACGAAGAACTGGATCATGAAGCCGGAGGCTGAGAGGCCGCGCTCGGTGGTGGGGAGGATCCAGGCTGGGATGAGGCATCCGGAGATCAAGACAGCGCAGACGATCATTCGGCGGCGACCGAACCATTGGGAGGTGTATCCGAGAATAGTTCCACCGACGCAAGCACCAGTCTTCATGAGGATGGAGGCGCGGGTAGCACCGGCGGCGCTGAGGTGCTTCTGCTCCTTCATGAAGGTGGTGTAGCTGTCCTGGCTGGTGTGGGAGTAGTAGTTGAACCAGGTCATGAGGATGATGCAGTAAATGCACATCTTCCACTCCTTCTTGAGCATGAGCTTAGTCTCAGCCCAGAAAGCGCCAGGAGCCTTCTTCTGGCCGGATCGCTTGGCCTCAAGGAATTGCTTCGACTCAGGGAAGAGGACGCGGACAAAACCGACAGCAATGGAGAAACCGGCACCAACCCAAAAGACAATCTTCCAGGTGTTGGTCGCGCCTCCGACACCCAAGTTGGCACAGGCCGCGAGGACATAACCGAATGAGTATCCTTGCTGGAGGATACCACTCATAAGACCACGAGCATCGAGACTGAAAAAGTTAGTATTTGAAGCGTATACCAATATCACTTATAAACTTACGGGCAGTTCTCGAGGGCCATGGAGATGGCGTTTCCGTAAACACCTCCCATGAAGAGACCGAAAAGACTGCGGACAGCCAAAAACTGCTGGAAGGTACCGGCGTAGATGGTAGCGACCTGGAGCAGACCGAGAATGATCATGTTGAGGACCATGGGCCACTTGCGACCAAACTTGTCTCCGGCTACACCGAACATGGCAGCACCGACGGAGCGGAGGAGCAGTGTCAAGGTGATGGCGGTTGTGATGGCAGTGTTGGTCGTGTGGTAGTATTTGGCAAGCTTGGTGGTCTGGATGGAGAGAGCGTGGAAGTCGAAAGCATCAGCTGTCCAGGCAAGGAATCCAACCAGGAAGTACAGCCAGTCCTTCCAGCCAAGCTGGGCGAAGAGACTAATGGGGTTCTTGAGAGGCTCTGGCCTCTGCCACTCGCAGTGCTCCTCGCCATAGTCGTTTGTGACGACGATGCGCTGGTCCCAGGTGAAGAGGTCTTTCAAACTCTGTTTGGCAGTGGGGATGATGCCCTTGGCCAGCGGATCAGCAGGGCGGTTTGCGGTCGCCATGATGTAGAGGACTGAGGAGACTCTAGGGTGGATTTCAAGGCAGTAGGAGAAGAGGAGGACTGCCTTTTGATAGTAGGCACGAGTCCGATCGCAGTGATGACCCCATTGCTGGACGCGGGGAAGTCGAATATATACTTTTTGGAGTGTCTTGCAGCAGCAGTGTATGCCCTTGCAACGGTGCTATCGATGCCCTGGTCAGTCAGCCACTGGACCTTGATACGGGCCAAGAGGAGCCAAGAGCGCGTGTGCAGTGGTTGTTGGGGGGTGGACAGTGGATGTAACCGCGTCGGGGCAGCCAAGGACGCCATATCGCGCTAAGCAACTCCAGGTGGGCCCGGCGACGGCGCCAGCGCGAGTGAGGGAACAGACATTGACCCGGGATCTCATCGTCAGTGTGCAAAGGCTCTCGAGACGGCGCGGAGAAAAACAAGTGGGTGCTGGGTGGGTGTGCTGATCTTGCCCACGCCAGACGCCGTTGTGTTTTTTTCCCCACGGGGGACTTTTTCCTTCGCGTCTCCCGCACGGCGGTAACTTTGCGGGACAGCTGCAAGCACAACCATACTGGAGCCAGAGCGGCGCAACAACACCAGGCCCGACCACGGCAAAGAAAAGAGACTCTGGATGCTTGAGCCCACACAAGCTCTCATGGCGCCGCGGAGGCTTGTCGCCATCTCTTCTCACAAAGAAGCTTCAGGCCGGTGAAGCAGCCACAAAACTTGGCGAGCAAACCCCGCAGTCAAGCCGTGCCGCCGCCAGCGCCGAAGCTTTTCACCACCTCGTTGAGGCCAAGATGGGGAGCGGCGTATGCGACAGCCAAGATGCTTCGCCGTCAGCCCAGCCTTCTTGAGTGGGCTTCTTTCGACGCCCATCGTTCGTTGGGCGGCCTGTCCGACCACGTCTGAGCAACGTCTAGCGATTCCCATTCTCTTCTTCTAGAGCACGCCTAACGCTGGCGGTGTGTGGACATACAACCCCGTCGCATCCTGGGAGCCGGGTCTTCTGAACGTCACATGGTCCCTCGAGCGCTGCTCCAAAGCCCAGTGGAGTGGGTTGCGGGCCTTGCACTGTCGAAGTTTTTGCGCACTCCAGGTGGGGAGGCAAAGAGCCTTGGCTGTGTAGGTGTGCGGGATATGGTCTGATCTGGTTTCTTGCTGCGCGCACAAACGCCGAGAATGAATCGTGCATGCTGGGGAACGGGATTAGGAATCGCGTAAGTGATACATGACGGCAGCGGCGAAAACGTTTGGATGAGGCAAGGCGCCCACCTCTCTCGTGCACAATCCTTTGCACCATCACACCAACATCACATGCCGATCCTAGCCTTCCCACTCCTCAATATTATCGGTCTTGCTCCCATCGGTCTACTGAGTGCCGCTGAAAAGACCCCACAACCGTCATCCGATCCCGGAGCCCTGTGGCTTACTTGCTTGGTTATGCAAACGGCTAGAGGCAGACCCCCCCCCATTACACGTGCCGAGCTGGCCCCTGATCCTTCCTCCACGTTTTTTTTTGGAACACAGAACATGGCACACAAACAGCTTTACCTGGTCGGTAGAAACACTGCAAGCCAGATAGACGACCGACCCCGCCCAAAAGGTTTCACCGGAAGGCGTATCAACGCGTGTTTGCCCAAAGCAGAAGGACCTAATACCACGAATACCATAGTCAAACCCTAATCCCAGCGTTAGCCGTTAACACACCAACCTATAGTTCCAAGATTCTAGGCAGAGTGGGTACACATGGGGGCGGCAAACATGCCGACCATGGATCCTGAAACGGAAACCAATCACATGGCCCGCGAATGTACCCGATGGTTCTTCACCCTGCATATCTGCTATGTATGCTACTGTTTTGTGTTTTGTCAAACATGCCGATCCTTTCTGACCGCGGCCGCAATTCTGTGCGGCTGTACGGCTACATCCGACAGGCATTGTCTGCACACGTTCCGATATCTCTTCTTCTGGGCGATATCTATCCAGCCCATCACCGGCGGTGAGCCACAGAATGAGGCCATTAACACGTATCAGGAAAACTTGAGGCGCCAACGATTGGATCAAAGCCATTAAACTACTACCAAGAATGCGGCTCACTGACCAGCGTATAGTAGCGTGTCATGGTAATTTGATATTCCTGGAGACACGTTCGACTTCATCCGGCTCCGACTACCTTGGCATACATTCACCAAGGAGCAATTCGGAAACTACGGTTCAAAAGGACCGAACACATACTTACGGAGCCCACTTCATTGAACCCACCCTATGGAATCATTGTGACGAAGCCGTCACTCCACATTACTACGCATTGCTATACGCCTTTACTCTTGGCTGGCCAATATTGACTATTTGTCATCTGTTTCCAGGCATCACAAGGGCAACAATCATTCATCACCCTCACACATTAGGCCTGATCTTCTTCTTCCGCCTCGCCTTGCCCCTACCTCCCTCGAAAAATCCCTTTCTCTTCTCATTCTATCTCACATCCCACACCGTCGCACACGACCTCTGGTTTGGGTTCGCTACCACGAGGTGTAAACTGAGATCCCCAGGCAATGCATTGCACTTGGTCTTGGAGATCACCAGCAGCTCGCCAATTCTATCTATCCGCTCTGTAAAACTCCAATGGCGCGTCTGCTTCGCAAGGATCCAGGACTTCGGTTCAAAAGAGATAAAGGTATCGCTGGGACCATGAGTGATCTCACGGTCTTATGAAGGGTGAGCCAGCATAATGCTTACTTTGCGAAGGGCGCATGATAATCTGAGCGTCTTGTGTTCGGGACCAACCTAACTTTTTTTCTTAAGAAGAGGCCACGAGCACCGATAGTATCTCTGATATCGTTGACTGCAGTAAGAAGTTGGCGCATGTAACGTCGGCGGCTGACATCTGTTGATGGACAGGTGGAGTTGTCAGCAAGGCACCGCGAGTCTTTCCTTGTTATGACTTCCCTGGCTTCTCTGAAAGAGCTTTACAGGGTTATGCCGGCTTTCGGTGCGGTCGATTCTGCAAGTTGGCAGTTCGGGACTTCATGCAACGTCGCAGGGCCATATGTACAGCTAGAGTATTACTGCATGGAAACCGTTGCTGACACTTGCATGTCATCTTGGAGCCGCAGCTGCGACACTTCATACGCATCATCAGTCAGCTGTTGCGCAACAGCATTGCTTATCACAAGCGCTTACTGGCCAATACTCCCATAAAAGGTCACCTCTTTGACGTTCAGATAGCCTCGCCGATCTTCAGGCAACACCGCATTGACCCGTGCATCAACCCGCACTACCTGCATACGATCAACAGGATCGACCCAAACATGCTTTAACACGAACATCTGCTGCTAGAGAAGGCACCAGTGTCTATGCGCACCTTTCTTGGATGATCGACTGTAGCTACATAACGCAGATATCGCCTCGCATTCCCGCACCCCAAGCTTCAAAGAGTCCCTCGACGAAGACCCAACTCGTAACTGCAAGCTGGCCTATCAGCCAGACATATGCATCTTCTTAGTTTTTTGGTGAGTTGCATGTATTTCGAAGACACTAAGACTCGATGAGGCGCGGGCGAGTACACGTTTCGGTTCTTCATTCTTTCCCACCAGGATATCTTTGTGTATCGGAGATGTTTCGTACTAATTGTGCTAATGTTTTATAATAGCAGCTGTACAAGTGTTGTATATTTTTGATTTTCGATCAGTAAGTGGTGCCATATACTTGGGTAGTGACTTTTCATGCGATAGGAAGGCGGCAATCTTAACATCCAGAACATATTTACTCGTTGGAAATAAGTTGGTAAGAAATCATATTGCTGTGTTGTCTATAAATTATGTTTGGCATGATATTCAACTTGGAAGCCTGTCAATTCCTCTAAGGTCTGCCGACACTCTCTTTCGTACTTATCAATGCCCCCTATATAATTCAGTTGTTCTCGTTTCTTTCCAGGTACATTTGCCCCCATCCACCACGAGTCGGTAAGCGGTATCAAGGTTTGATCGTTCGCGTCTTGGATCCCTTGTTTCCACCGCAATTCAGCGTCCCGCTTCGCTTCGATCGATTTAATACCACTAGCCTCCATTTTCTGTATCAGATCCGCGACTATATCAACCTGACTCTCAATGAATACAGGGCCATTGGTAAAGGCGGTCGGTGCTGTATCTGCCGTTAGCGCTGTTGGTTCGAAGTAGATACATGGGAGAGGCCTATACCTTGAGGTCCATAGATCATGAACATATTTGGACAGCCACTGCTGCATAATCCGAGATGCGTGAATACGCCATCTTTCCATCGTTCTCGAAAGGTTAATCCATCCCTACCAATGATATTGATGTTCGTGAGACTTCCCGTCATAGCGTCGAAGCCGGTGGCCATGACGACTGTATCACACTCGTGTTTCTGGCCATCCTGCGTCACAATTCCATCTTCTGTAAACTCCCGTATCGGATTTGACTTGAGATCCACAATATCAACATTGTCCCGATCCAGACACTCGTAATAATCCTGTTCCAGACTACTCCGTTTCGTTCCAAACACAAAGGGTGCTTTTTCCGGAACAAGGAATGCCGCTTTGGCTTGATTTTTGACTCGTGGGCGTGTCTTCCTAGCCCAGAAGTCGTACATCAACTCCCCAGCTTCTTTGTTGACCACGTAGTCGCGATAGTTTCCTTGGAGGAAGTTGAAGCCGCCGCGATTCCACGTCTCCTCGAAAATCTCCTCTCGTTGCTGATCGTCTACGTCGAACGCGGAACCAGATATAGCGTCGTATCCGAGACCAAACTTTGTTTTTCGGCAGTATTCGAATAGGTGTCTGCATGCGGATTTGTTCACGCGTTGTTCGAATTCGCTCAATGGACGTTGGAACATGGGTAGCGAGATACTGGGAGTGCGGATGTACACGGTTAGATGTCGTGCCTGTTTTGCGATCTCCTGTGTGCACTGGACTGCTGTAGCGCCGGACCCAATGATGGCGACACGGACATTCTTGGTGTTGACTTCCTTTGACCACCGGCACGAGTGAACTAGCTGTCCCCGAAATCGGTGTAAGTTGTTGAAGTCGGGATAGTAAGGTTTGAAAGAGCTTCCAGTAGCGCAAACGAGGTACTTGCATATCGCTTTGTGGCCTTTCTCTGTCGTCACTGTCCACCTGCAGCTTGATTCATCGTATACAGCTCTCGTGACAATGGCATTGAAGGTGATATCTTGGGCCAAACCTAAAGTCTGGTCTACATGTTCGAAGTATGCCTTCAATTCAGCTCCGCCGGGAAATCTTTCAGACCAGTTCCATTTTCGCCATACTTGGGGCATGGAAAACTGGTAGTAGGGTATCTCGGAGTCGACGCGAGCTCCAGGGTAACTATTCCAGTGCCAAACTCCCCCGAGAGATGAGCCTGCTTCGAAGACGTGGACCTTGAATCCTAGATTGCGGAATTTGAAAAGACTGTAGCATCCGCCGAAACCTGCGCCGATAATGAGAACGTCGACGTTTCTTGTTTCAAGGTCTCCGTTCATCGCGTCACGTGTAGATACCATGACGAAAAAGGTCGTAGAGAAGTGCAATGGTAATAGATGAAACGATTGGGAATCAACTTCAGAATGCTGATTGTATGGAAATGTCACTTTAGACTTGGGGCAGCTTTTATTCCGTACCACTAGCGTTTGTGTAACAGCATTACAAGTCCCTGGTAGTTCCTCGGCATCCTGTGCAGCCCACTTTCAATCACCCTAAACAGCTATTTAATGTTCTTATCCTATTCAAACAGCAAGATGAGGTCGATTATTGGCATTTCGGCTATCAGATAGCTGTTTCTGTATCTCCGGGTAGATCGCAACCCTCGGTCACTGAATGGATTGGCCTAACAAAGTTGCATGCAGACTTAGCCTCGGCCGCATTCCCGCCCAACTTGTATAAGAGTTTCTGTATCATCAAAACCTACATATGGATATGGTCATGAATTTTTTCAATCTATTTCCTGCCTTAAAAGAGAGATTTGACTACCAATAATCTCAAGAAATATCACATTCTTCCTAAACTTGATATTCAGGATGCCCTCCGAAGAGTCCCGAGCTCTCACAGAATGCTATATGGGTATGAGACGACTCTTCGATCTAGCGCCGCCTACTACCGAGCTATTTCGCGTAATAATAGAAGAGCTAGGAACCATTAGTGCAGAGCCAACAGATGTCACATACGAAGATGTCAACTGCCCAAGAACGGTCAGGCCGGCAATATGGTGCAAACCAAAGGAAGCCTCGGCCTCACGTGTTATTCTCAACCTACACGGCGGAGGATTCGTCACCGGATCTCCATCTAGCCACCGCAAGCTAGCCGGACATCTCGCCAAGACTTCTGGATGTCATGCTCTGGTTCTGGACTATGAACGAGCTCCAGAGAATCGATTTCCCAAACAACAAGAAGATGTAATTGCTGCATACAAGTGTTTGATGATGGATAAGAAAATCTCAAGCAAAAATATCGTGTTCGCTGGGGACTCAGCTGGCAGACGCTTAACGATATCGTCCACCTTAATGGCTAAGAATCTAGGTCTTGATCTTCCAGCTGCCATCGTCACATCCTCTCCGTGGTTTGATGTAACCATGGATGCCGAAAGCTATGATAGAGGTTTAACCAAACAGTCGTTTGTAACACCCGAAGCTATAGGCCTTGTTGCCGGAGCATACGTTGGAAACGCCCCCACCTCGGACCCTCTGATAGATTTGCTCCATGCCGATTTTATGGGTCTTCCTCCAATATATATAACAGCCGGAACCGAAGAAATCCATGAAAAAGAGGCTTTGCAGCTGACAGAACATGCCAAGTCTGCAAAAGTCGAAGTGCGGTTGGAGATAGTGAAAGATATGGACCATATTTGGGTCATGATGGCTGGAAGAGCACCTGAGGCTGACAAGACGATTGCTGAAGCTGCTAATTTCCTTCGTAAAAAATGGTAGATATAGGAAGATACTTTGATCAATTTCGGATGGTTTCTGCAACGGGGAGGACCTCGAGAAAAAGTGGAGTTATGCCGCGACTACGCTGCACAGGATGATGAGCGACAGCTTCCCAAACATGTTTTGACCCGGACTTATCCAGTCCGGTGGTCACCCCAATTATGCGTATATCGCCAGTCAATCGACGAAACACGTTGCCTACCTCCTAGCTACTGCCCGAGCTCAAACTTCATCTGTTCAAGCGACTCATTCACCATGCAATTACAATTTTACCATGGAATCTACTGCAGAAGCCGAAGAGGAATGGTAGAAGAAGGTTGCATCGCAGGCTCACAAGTTTGGAGCATCAGCAGGCTGCACTCCCAGTTACATCAACGTTGAGGGAGAGTTCGACAGCCTCGAAGACCCCGATAAACTCTCTAGAATGGCTCATAGTTGTAGTTGGGGTAAGGGGCAGGAAGATTTTGATAATATTCTTGAGAATTGGCGTCAAAACGACGATCTGGAAGGCCGAGAAGTTGCTCCTGTTCTATGACAATGTTCTTAATGTTTAAATGACCTTGCTTCTCATCCTCCTACGTCAATACAACTGTTCATTGAGATAAAATTGAGCTTAGAGTCATATTGTAAGCAATTCATATGTGGAATGCATACTTACTAATTGGGATCACGTATCATATTTAACAGGACAAATTCTTTGCACAAATTATCATCACACCCTTGTCATTCTAGCTTATGCCAAAATGATTTTTTGGTGTTACATATGGTGCAAAATTTCTTTGGTGCAAATTAACTATCATGTTGTAACTTCAGCTCATTCTTATGAAGATGTTGGACAAAGGTTGAAACAACTTTGCTGACGGGCGCCTTGTGATAACTCTTGAATGCAGGATTTTCTTTCCAAACATACTAATGCATTGGTTGATGTTTCACTTTGAGTCTGTAATTGACACGAGTTCTGCACCAACTCGGCATCATAAGCCTCATAATCGTCGAATCTCCTATGCGTCACACTAAACCGGGCGTTCTCATTATCCGCAAGCGCAAGCGGCGCTCCTAAGTTTATGATTGTTATGCTATACGAGGATTAATTGGTTTGCCGGGTGATGTCTTACCCTATCGGACAATATCAATGAAGTCCTCGGCCCTCGGGATGTCGTAAGTATATCACCTTGAGTTTAGTTCAACCTTGTTTAATAATCAAATCATGTTGGAGCTACGTTTGGATACTATGAAATCACATATATCGGATAGGGGTATAATTGTAGATGAGAAATAACGTGCATCATAACAGAAATAGCTGGGATGATTGCCTCTTTTGGCTCTTGGGTGTCGCAGTGGTACATCATGAGAACAAAAGGACTGTTGTCCACGATTCTGTGCTCGCTCTATCGATCGTTGGCCGGATTCAGGCCACCTCCGTGATTTGAGTGAGATGATAGCGAATAGCGCACATGTAGAGATTTTGTATCTGGCTGTCAGCGCCACCGAACTCCTTTGGGCTTGCAAATCGATAAAAGCCTGCTTGTTTGGCAAGGTCTTTCACTTGTCGAAGCAAAGTCTCCCATCTTCATTCGGCAAGCCTTGGTTGCTCCATTGCGTCCTTGAAGCTTCTTGGCGGAGGTCAAAAAACCAAATGTTGTCGTCCTTATGTTGCAACGACACGATCCCATCCTTGATGAAGTCATCAATCCGCGATAAAGAGTCTTTTATCTCCGTGAGCAGCTCGAAATACATGGTTGTTGATGTGGAAATGCCGATTTCTAGATTGAGTTTCCTGGCTGAATGGTGCGTGGGAAAGGTGTTGAGCACAAAGTCAAATTGTCATATTACACTCACAATCAATTTTGTATCACACACACCAACTTTTAAGCAGAAATTTTTCATCGAAACTCGTCAATTTTCTATCGGATATAGGGGTAACACGTCGCGAGAAATCGATTTA